CGCAAGGGCCCCCGGCCGCCGGCAGCGTCCTGCAGAGGAGCGTCGCGGCACCCGGGAACCAGCCGCAGCCGCAGGTAGTGAACTAGAAGCCCCAGGAGGACCGCAGGGATGAGAGGGTGGGGGTGCCGGGGGGCGCGAGGAGCTGGGCGCTGGGTTCCCGGGTGGTGATTGCTGAGTGCCGGGGTGGAGGGCGCTGCGGGAGCCAGAGACCAGAGGGAGTGGGGGCCCGAAGGCGGTCCAGGAGCCCGGGCGTGCGTCTCTGCCGGGCCGACCCGGGCGCACGCACAGTGCCCGCGGCGTCCGGGATGGTGAACCAGCTCCTGCGCCCGGGGACGAGGAGAGACCGGAGGGCGCCGACGCCTGGCGGGGCCGGGCCCGGTCCACGCTCCCCGGCACGTGTTGTCCGCGTTGCCCCGGGTGTCTCGCCATCCTTGCGCCGCCGCCTGCTGCCATCCCACCGTCGGCGCGCGTGGCCCTTCCGGCCGCTCCGAGGCGGGGGGGCCAGGGCGCGGAGAGGGGAAATTCAGCCCGAAGGAGCGGCTGGTGCCCAGGCGCTCCCGACATCTACCCTCCTCCGACTGCCGCCCGAATGGAGAACTCGGGAGCGATCAGCCTGGGGGTGCGGGGTGGGGGCCCGCAGTTGGCAGGTTCCACCCCTCCGCTGGTGGAAACCCCTCGCCCGCATCCAGTCCCGCGCTGTCCCGGCCACATTTCCAACTGCGTACTCTGAGACAAGGTTGCCCGCAGGAACGGCCGTCCGAGAACTTCCCACTCAGGTTCTTTAGGACTGAGTCTTTTCGTCGTTATGCCCCTCTTCCCAGTTCGGTGCCTGGCCCGTAGTGTCATCGGGTGACGCTAGAGAGTCACACGGATCGGAGTTTGGGCCTCGAATTTGCCACACACAGACTGAGTAGCCTTAGGCAACTTGCTTAACTTCTCCAAGCCTCAGTTTCCCTCCCTGTAAAATGCATATAATAATCTCAACCTCTCATGATTTTTATGAGAACTAATTGAGATATGGTTAATAATATGTTAATCCCCACGTCCTGTCTTGATTAAACGTTTCTGCTGGGCTGTCGGGGGGACCATGTGATAGGTGATCAGTCCGGTTTAGCGTCAGCTCCCAGAGGGCAGTATGCAGCCTGCTTCGTTGTGCCCTGTGACTTTCTGATTATGAACAGAGAGGCATGATTTGGTGACAGGCACTGTGGGGGATTGATTAAAAAGGAGCAGCAACCTCAACGGACGTTATTGAGGGCACACAGGGTGCTAGGAGCTAGGATGAATTCGCCTTTTCTCTTCTGCCAGCCCCAAGCATTAGGCTTTTAGAATGATGGCTGCAGAGATTACTGACCGTTTGTTCAGGGCGTGGATCTCCCGTGCCCAGGACAGGCCCCTGGCACATGGCAGGAACAGTTAATACTTATTGAAAGAATGAATGAATCACACAATAAATGAGAAAACTGAAAATTCGGAGAATTTAAGCCATGTCTCCAAGGCCAAGTTGACAGTAAGAGACAAAACCAGAAGCATGCATTTCTACACTAAAGTTCTGTCCTTGACACCACATTTCCCCTCTGTGGTCTTCTTCTGGTTGTGTTTACCAAGACTTCTTTGCCTCTAAAAGACTATGTTTTAACACCTTGTCTGTTTCCTTGAACACTGTCTCCAGGCCTCTTCTGTGTGTTATATTATTTCTGTATATGGTATTCATTCTCCTTTTATCGCTTTATATTCTTGCATATGCTGAAAATTCTTTACCGGGCTGTAACTCGGGGAGATGATATTTGTCCCTCTTGTTTGGAATATGAGACTAGATAAAATGATAACTGAAAATATCCATTGTTTTATGTTATCAGATTTGCTTTCCATTAATATTAATAATTGAGTGGCTTTCCTGTGTTTGTATCCCACTAACCTCTGGGCTTTTAAACTCTTTAAAGGTAGTATTTCTACCCCCCACTCCTTAGTATCTTCTCACAGGGTTCTGGAAGCAAATACTGCTTTACTTCTCCATGTTTTCTATAACTGAATGGAGTGTTTTTACCATGGTAGGTGCATTTTTCTGCCGGCCTGTTTCAGGATAACTCTTGAAGGATTTGACTAGGTTTGGTTAAATCTCTTATATAGCCAAGAGCTTTCAAGACGCATCATAAATGTGCTTTCTGATTCGCTCTGACCTGTGAAAGAAAATGTCAGTCAAGCGTTGTTCAAATGAGCATATTGCCTGTAGTGTTTAAGATCATTTGAGGTGTTGATAGAGTGATGGGGTTGCAATTAGTTGTGTGTCATCACGATTTGCAGACCATATCAAGAGTACCTGTTTGTGTATGGTAATAGAAGGCCTCGCACATAGCAAGTTCCACATCGCAGATGCCTTCTGCCTTTCCCCTTCTCAGATGAACAACGTTGACACCACAACTCTTCCAGGCTCACGCCCTGTGGGGTAGAGGTTTATGAACGTTGGTTTGGAGTCCAACAGACCTGAGTTCCACTTCCCATTCACCCACTTACTAGCTGTGATACCTGGAGTAAGTTCCTAACGTCTCTGAGTTTCTTATTCCTCATCTTTTAAATGGCGGTCACACCACACACTCTCAAGGTGGTCATGGGGATTAACAGCTGAGCACAGCCATGGCACATGGTGAATGCTCCATAACAAGGGGCTCCTGTTCTCCTACTGGTGTAGCAACGAGCACCTGTGACTGCAAATAAGATGGTGAAGCTCGATAAGCAACGCTGAGTGAAGAGAGGGCAGAGAAGGGTGAGGCGAGGGGCCTCAGCGTCACACCTGACCAAACACTTTCCCCCAGAGCCCTGAGGATGATGACAGGAAGGTCCGAAGGAGAGAAAAAAACCGAGTTGCTGCTCAGAGAAGTCGGAAGAAGCAGACCCAGAAGGCCGACAAACTCCACGAGGTGAGACTGTAGTTGGGGCAGAGCCACGTTAGGGCCACGGAGAGGAGCTGTCCTCCGCCCTGCACTGTGGTGGTGGCCCTGAGGTCACGTCCTGCTCGTCACCAATTCAGCCGCATGCACATCTGATTCTGCTGCATGCTTCCAGCCCAGTGTTCTGATTCTTCACTCACTGGCATCTTCATTTCTCCCTCACCCACTGGTTGCATCTCACACTCAAGTTTCCTTCATTATAAATCAAAACAAAATGAGATCTCCTCTTGATCCTGATTCCCTTTCAAGCTAGTGCCTCATTTCTTTTCTTTTCATCCCTCAATTTTCTGCTCCTTAAAAAGAGACCTGCTGTCTCCATGTCCTCAGTTCCTGTTTATTCCCTAATCCTCTGTGATTTCATTTCTGCTCCCCTCTCCCCACCCAGCGCGCGTGCGCGCGCGCACACACGCACACACACACACACTCTTCCTACAGAGGCTGCACCCACTGAGGCCACTAGTGCCCTGGCACTGCCCTCTTTCTAGTCTTGTCATGCTTGACCTTGCTGAAACATTTGACACCATTGACCCTCCCCTTCTTGAAACCTGCTTTCAAGGTCCTTAGCTTCTAAAAGACCACATTTCCTACTTCCCCTGACCTTCTTAACCACTTTTTTTCTCAGTTTCTTTGTTAGATTTTCTAACTGTCTGTTTTCTTAAATGGTGGTGGTGACCAGGGTTTCAGACTCTGCTGTTTTTTCTTCTCACCCAGGAAGATTTAATCTATTAATCTGTTCTTCCGATATCAGCTGCCAACATTGATTACTGTCAGGTAGGCATTGATTATTCCAGGCAAGACTTCTGTCCTGGGCCCTAGACCCCATATCTCCAATGTCTGCTTAGATGTCTCCAAATGGGTCTGCTTCAGGTTCCTTGGATGCAGCAGAGTCATAATGGAGTGTCTGTTTACGCTGAGACTTTCTCTTCTCACTGTCTTCAAATTGTAGTTAATGGAGCTAGACGTCTTTCTCATCACCCAAATCAGGAACCTGGGATTTATCCTAAAATCTTCCATTTCTCTCAACCCCTATACATAATCCCACATAATCGCACAGCCAGGACCTGGGAACTGCCCCATATCAGGACCTGGCATTGAAGGCATCCGAGGATCTGTCCAAGGAATTGGTGACAGTCCCGTGCTCTTGTCTTTGCACAGGGTTGGTGTGAATAATTAAGGATTTTAATTTAGCTCTCTCCTGCCATGCTTTCTTGTCGTAGATTGTCTCAGCAGGGCCACTCTGGGGGAGTTGACAGCGTAGGAGATTCTGAGGTGTTATGAGGGGGAATGACAATCTCTGAAAACCCTTTAACAATAAACAGAGAACAGATATGCGATGCACAAACTCTGGGGAGAGGTGACCCACTGATAAAAATTCATAGCATGGCATAAATTATAAATGTCAGATTCTTTCCTAGAAGTAGGAAGGCTGGGCCGTAGAAAGAAACTATGGTCTTCAGACTAGGGTCAGGGACGGTCCTTCTTAGCCTTTATTTGTTTTGTAAAATTTCCACAGAAGAATGGGGATGCCCTCTGCCTCCTCTCTTCCTTCCCCCTTGCTCCTGGAGCAATCCTGGTTCTAGCTTCACGTTACCAAATAACTCCCGAGGGAACTTGCTACTCACAGTGCATGGCCCTGTGTTCAAACCACATGTGCCAGCTGGACAGCCTGGGCCCTTCCTCTCATGAAGCTTCTAGTCCCAGCCAGGTGCATTAACATCAAAAAACACTAGAAGACGCTTCGTTGTAAGTCCCAAGTGATTATGTGTGTAGCGGTGACTAAATGACTTGGATAGGATATTTCATGGAGCAAGGTCGAGTAGATTCATTCCACAAATATTTATTAAGCACTCCTATGGGCAAGGCATTGCCCTTAGGTCACAAAGAGAGGAGTAAGCTCTCATTCCTGTCTTTGCAAAGCACAGGAGTTCCCAAGGAAGATATATTCATTTCCTATGGCTGCTGTAACAAATCACGACAAATTTGGTGGCTTAACAGCAACATAAATTTATTATCATACGGTTTGGAGGTCAGGTGTCTGAAATGGGTCTCACTGGGCTCAAATCAAGGTGTTGACAGGGTTGCATTCCTTCTGGAGGCTCTGAGAAGAATCTGTTTTCTTGCTTTTTCCAGCCTCTAGAGGCTTCCGTGTTCCTTGGCTTGTGGTCCTCTCCCATCTTCAAAGCCAGCACTGGCCGGCTGACACTGTTTCCATTGTCACATATCCTTCTCTGTCTACTGACTCCTTGTTTTACTTATAAGGACCCTCGTGATTACATTGGGCTCACCTGCATAATCCAGGATAATCTCCCCGTTTTAAGGTTCTTCACTTAATCGCATCCGCAGAGTCCCTTTTGCCATGTAAGGTAACGTATTCACGGGTTCCAGAGATTGGATCTAGACGTCTTTGGGGACCATTATTCCGCCTACCACAGACGGTCACATAAATACTTTACTACAGTGTTAAAAAAAATAAGTCTCTCTCAATTTCTGTCATGGCTGGATTTGATAATCAAATGAACCAGGTGCCTGGGAAACTTAGGGGTGGTGCCACATTTACTTCTGCCTACTCCCTCTTAGAACCGTGGGTGAGAGGCGGTTCTATAGGGTTCCTAACCTGTTCTGCTATCTGTAGACATGACTAATTATGCCAAGTGCCCTCTCCAGAAATGGGGCTGATTGATGTGAAACCCAGTTCCTCCAGGGAAGAACACCCCTTCTCCTCTTTCTCTGTGGAGGTGGGAGAGTGGATCAAGATCATGCACCACTGGCAGATCACCTCAGCAAGGCCAGTTTTGTTGAGAAACACAGTGTCAAGGAGGCCGGGACAGTGGCTCCATCCATATACAGACCCCAAAGCTGTAGCCCACACCTTTGCTGTCACGAGCTACACACAAGTGTCATTGGTCACAAGATGGTGTGAGGGAGCAGGTGGCTGGCTTAGGAACATGGAAATACATGTAGCAGACGAGGAACGTCATCTCTGGACTGAAGGGCACCACATGTATAATCCCTCCCCTGTTAATTCCTTGGCTCCTTCCAGAAGGGCATCATAGTTATAGGGATCTATGCTCTGTATGGCCAACACAGTGAAAAAAAAAAAGTAAATGTAGTAAAAAAAAAAAAAAAGACTCTTTTTTAAACTTTGAAAAATATCTCCTTATTGACAGTGGGTGTCTGGTTAAAAAATATGTTGAGGGGAGCTGGCCCGGTGGCATAGTGGTTAAGTTCATGCACTCTGCTTTGGCAGTCCAGGGTTTGCAGCTTTGGACCCCAGGCGTGGACCTACACACCGCTTATCAAGCCGTGCTGTGGCAGGCGTCCCACATATAAAATAAAGGAAGATGGGCACAGATGTTAGCCCAGGGCCAATCTTCCTCAGCAAAAAGAGGAGGATTCGCAGCAGATGTTAGCTCAGGGCTAATCTTCCCCACACACACAAAAAAGTACCGTGAAGAATAATTTTACTGTGCTCTAGTGAGTTGAAGGCAGGGTGCCTAGCACACTGTTATGGGTCACGGCAGAAAGCCCCTTGGGGCCCCTGGGGCTCCAAGGCCACATCTAGGGTGGGGAAAGTGAGAGCCCGACACAGTGCATAGAAACTTTCCCCTCAAACCTGGAATGAGGCCAGCTAATTGGGAGACACCAAGGGGTGCAGCAAAAGGCCACCTGGTAGCCATGACTGCCTGCTGCTCCCTCGGGAGAGCAGGGTTAGCCCATCAAAAGAGCTTTGAGTGAAGCCTCTATCGCATAAACTCCTCTGTCCCATACTGTGGGGTAGCATTGCTAAATATCTCAAAGTAACTCAAGATCTTTATTTGCCTTTCTTGAATACCATGAAGGGAAATATGTAGGGCAAGATGTTTAAAATTCCCACCTTTCTGTCCTGCCCACCTCGCTCACTCACCCCAACTATTATTGAGCCTCTCTCACCTCCAACACCCTGAAAAACCTTCTCCTGTGCCAGCTCTTGTGTTTCTCGGCTGCCTCCCTTCCCTCCCAGTTCTCCATGTCCAGAGCCAGAGGCCTGTCCATCAAGGCAGGACCTCCTTGGAGGGCAGGGCTGGGGAAGGGCCTGAGCTGGTAAAACCAGAGAGAGACTAGGGTCGCTCTTCAGTCTGAATTTCCCCTCAGGGTAGTGGTTGTTAGAAGTCGGACTGCAGTGATGAGAAGCGGTTCCTAATGAGTATCTGTGTACCTCGGTGTTCACGGTGGCTTTTCAAATCATCCCTTCAAGGCGCTTACACCTCTCATGGGGATTTCGACCTCTATTCATCTCTGAACATTAGGCACACGCCTGAGTCCACGTTCACAAATGAGAACCCAAGTGAACAGTCCAGGTCTCTAGACAAGCTGAACAGTGGCTCAGAAGTGGGTCAGACTGGTTTGAGCCAGGCACACCAAGGTGTAAGACTGAGAAAGAATTTTGAGTCAGAAAAGGAAAGCAGCGATGCCATCCTCAGGAGCCCCAAATGTCACAAACTGACAAAATTCTTGGGCAACATGATTGTGGTATGTGTTGCCATGGTTTTTTCAGATATTGCATATTCTAAGAGAATGCCTCATGTCAGTCCCCACTTGGTTTAGAAACTGATGATGACACTAATTTGTACAGCCCTTGCTGGTGACACAATTTTTGTGCTGGGAAGTATATTAGCTTAAAGCTTGGAAATAGACTTATTGTAAAATCCTGAGCTCTTACTACCCTTGACTGCTGGTAACCACCATGGGGAAATTTGGGCCCAGGCACTGCCAAGCGAAAGCAGAATTGCTGTCATCGCATGAGAGTTCAGTTGACCTTGAAATCAGCAATCACGTCCCAAGTCTGCGTGACCTTGGAAAAGTTACCATACCTCTCAGAGTTTGTTTTCTCGCTGGTGGAATGTGGTCTGTGTGTGACTGTGACCTCTGATGGCCTTTGCCTCCCTCTCATTTCCTTACCCCCTTCGTTGTCACACCTGGTCCCGGGTACCCACATTAGCTTCTTTACCAGTCTTTGATCCTTTCTTCTGCCTCAAAGGCATCCGGGACCCCGAATCCTCCCAGACAGCCCCACATTCCTCCATCAACCTCTGGTAGATGCCTGGAGCAGGGTTTCTCAACTTCGGCGTTATTGACATTTGGGGCCGGATAATTCCTTGTGGGGCCTGTCCTGTGCACTGTAGGATGCTGAGCAGCACCCCTGGCCTCTATCCACTAGATGCAGTGGCACCACCTTTCACAGTTGTGACAACCCCAACTGTCTCCAGACACTCTAGATGTCTCCTGGGGACTGCCAAATCACCCCAGTTGAGAATCACTGTCCTAGACAGTACTTTCTGAGGCAGATCTGGGATTTGCAGTGATTTCACCGCCTCTAATTTTTAGGTCTCTGTTTTGTGACTATGTCCTGGCAAATACCCTGGGCAGGCAGCACGGTAACCTCAAAACCTCCTGGGGGAGAGGATTCAAAACTCAGCAAAATTTGGGCTAAACTGATCATCTCTTCAGAAATCACAAAGGGTCTAATGTGCTCTGATTATTTTCCACGGGTGTTGAGTCCAGGTCATTTCTTCTCGGTGTGGAGGGGGTCTTCCTCTTTCCGCTCTGCTCCCTCTCAGTGTTCTCTCACCTCCCCTTCCTCTCTTCCCGGCTCCTCTTTGTATTGTTGTTGAACTGGTCTCACCTGAAGAAGATTTTGACTTCTCTCCTTTTGATTCCTCAGCTTGATAAAAGTCCCTCAGCAGATTTATGAGTAAAACTTAAATTCCAGGAGAGAAAGTCCCTGCAGAGAAGGCAGACAAGGGGCCTTCTGGGTGGCCTGTGACGGCAGCTATGAAGCCCCTCTGAGCTGGGGTTTGGGGAAGGCGATGGTCCCTCAGGAAGGCCTGAGGCGGCACAACCCCTGGTGACTTCAAGAGATAAAGCTCAGAAGCTCACGGCATCTTGCCACACAATTCAGTAAATACAGAAAGGCAGTCTGGAATATTCTGCCACAGGAAGCGAGTTTCCTATTCTTTGGAATCTAATTAAAATGTTAGCTCATTGGAACCATTCAAATCTATTCTCCATCTTACTTGGAGGTGAAGAGCATTTCTAGCTGCAGGGTGGAGAGTGTGTGTGTGTGTGTGTTGGTGTGTGTGTGTGTGTGTGTATGCACTCTACACAGAACTACAGCCTCTCTCCCTCCTCTCCTATGATACCTAGGCCTCCATCCCCATCCTCCCATCCAGACCCTCCCCTTGCCCGTGGAGGGCTTGTCGCTGGTTTGTATTCTGACTCTAGGGCTAGAGCTTGTCAGAGGCGAGAGGAGAGCGTGAGGAGTTGGGGGTGGTAGGCATGGAGGAGGGCTGAAGGCAGAATGGGGCCACGTACTCCTGAAGCCAAACGGACCCAGGACAGCCTGCGGGGAGAAGTGTGAGGCCTGCTGCCTTGGAGAGTATTCCAGACCACCCTGAGAGCCTGCCTGGGAAAGGCAGAGGCAGAGGAATAGCTCAAATGGCCTCTGCATGCAGCCCCTCTGGATCCCTTGTTCTGAGAGAGAGGAAGGTTCCTAGAGCGGGAGGAGGGAAGGAAGTGGGTAAGAGATGGAGATGGAGGACTAAGGCTGAGGGTCACTGAGCACGTAGATGCTGGCACTAGGACCTGTCAGGCAGGGGTACAGGAGAGGGTAGCAGAGGCCCCTATGTCCTATATATTTCTGATCTTTGGGGAGAGATCTTATTTAACATAAGTAAGATTGAATATGATACAAGACTGAACAGCACACACAATGAGAGATGTGGTTCTATTAGGTGCTGTGATGAGGGAAGCCTTCCTGGAGGTGGTGGGCTTGAGCTGGGGCCACACAGAAAAAGAGGAAGGCAGTCCAGTTGAGGAGAACCCGCATTAGCACAGGGGCAGAGTTGAGAATTTGTGTGTGCCTCAGGGCCTGTAAGAAGATCAGACTTTTAATGATATTTCTTAAACAATAGCAGTAAGAAGAAAGATGTGATGGATAAATCCATCACAAGATTGGGCCCCCAATTCAGGAAATGCATGGTGTGCATGGTACAACAAAGCCTAACCATATGAATCAACCTAGAAATTATTGAAAACAACATTTCAGCAAGATTTAAATGAGATTGTCAGCCTTAAAAGGGTCTCTATTGGTATGCCATAGGGCTCTGCCGTTGGCCGAGTATTGTAGAACTTATTAATGACTTGGATGAAGAGAAGGAAGACCGGTTTATCAAGTTAGTGGACAGCTGATAGCTGTGTGGTATCACTAATCCATGAGCTGACACAATCAAGATTCAAAAAGATTTTGCTAGGCTGGAAGATGCCCAAGCGAACAGGGTGAAATTCAGTAGCGGTGGATGTAAAGCCCGCCCTTGGGCTCCAAAACCTCAATCATCCAAGTATAGACGGTGAAGCAGCAGGTGCAGATGAAGCTTGCACTTCTCTGCCAGCTCAGGGAAAATCCCCAGAGCAAGATGGCTGTGGGCTTGGGTCTAGCCCAGAGCAGACCATCTCTACACATCTGCCCTCTGCATGGTCAGGCGATCCCTGGAATCATGCACTGCGTTTTGGGAGTAATATGTTCTCAGAGCTCCTGGCAAATTGGCGTGTGTGTTGGGGATGGCCTCCAGGAGGGCAAAGGGACTGAAGGTCCTAAAACCCAAGGGACTCAGAGGACCTGAGACAGTTGAGCTCAGAGGACACCTAAGGGGAAGTGGTATGGAGCTGTCTCTTAATGTTTCAAGAACTGTGATGTTGAAAAAGTTTTGAATTTACTCTATGTGGTTCCATAAGGTGGAACCGAGCCCCATAGGTGGGTTTGAAAGAGAGAGAAATTTTGGATCAGTACAAAGAAGAGCTTTGTAATGGAGCAGCTCAGAAATGGCAAGGACCGTCCTTTGAAGGAGAGTGTGCCCAGCACCCTCTGTAATTCACCCTCTGCCCAGCACGGAGCTAGAATTACAGAGGGAAGTTTTCTACATTGCATGGGTTGGACTAAGGGCTCTCTATGATCCCCTCCAGTTGTAAGCCTCTGTGAACTCTGATGTGGTAGAAACTTAACAAATGACTGTTGGAGCAAAGCCAAGGCGAGGGGTATTTTCATTCATTTACTCAGCACTCCAGAAACATTTGTTATATTCTAGGCACTGTTCCAGGAGCTGGGGCTATGACAGTGGACCCAACAGAGACCTTTAGAAAGCAGATCAGCAGTGAGGGGAGGAAAGGCTGACTGCAAAGGAACATGAGGGAACTTTTCAGAGTGATGGAAATGTTCTATGTCTTGATCAATATAGCTGTTTACACTTGTCGAAACTCACTGAATTATACACTTAAAATAGATATTATATGTAAATTAGACCTCAATAAAGTTGATTCGAAAATCAAAGCCCTGCCCTCATGAACCTCTCATCCTGGCGGGAGGAGAGAGACATTAAACAAATGAATACATATGAGTGGTGGAGGGGGACATGGTTAACGAGAAAGGTTTCCTGGGAAGGAGGTGAGCATCCTGGCGCGGGTTAGATCTGCCAGGAGGACAGAGGAAGAGAATGTGGTTTCAGAGACGATTTTGTCCGTTCTCTGCCTTCCCCAGGAATATGAGTGCCTGGAGCAAGAAAACACAGTGCTGCGGAGAGAGATCGGGAAGCTGACAGAGGAGCTGAAGCACCTGAGCGAGGCCCTCAAGGAGCATGAGAAGATGTGCCCGCTGCTGCTGTGCCCCATGAACTTTGTGCCCGTGCCACGGCCGGACCCTGTGGCCGGCTGCCTGCCCCGATGAAGCCCAAGGACCATCCTCCTCTGCCGGGTGAGGAGCCTTGGTCTTTTTTACACCTGGGAGGAGGGCTCTCTCCGCATCTTGTGTACACAGGGACCTGTGGCCAGGCCACCTCCTCGGAGCTCCGGCCGTGTCCTCAGCAGACTGAGCTCAGCCAGACACTCCCGCAGGCACCTGACTCTCAGAGCCTCGAGTGGATCCAGGCAGGGAGAGCACCCTCAGGAGTCACTTTTTATCCACTTTGGCAGCTAGTAGGTTCCGCTGTTATGCAGAATCATTTCCTCTGGAATTTGGGTAATAAAGATGATTATCATCTCTCCTTTTGCCAGGTTCTTGGAATTTAGAGACACAATACATTTCCTCTTCCTGAAGAGGTCATCTTCTGTTGTTTTGCGTCTTGTGGGTCTTGCATCCCCCTTCTGGTCATCTCGCCTACAGCCACATCCATGCTAGATGGAGGAGGCACCTTTGGGGGCTGCAGAGTCAAGGCCCATGGGACTTCCCTGCCACCCAAGCTGGGTCACGATGGGGCGTGCTGGGTGTGACTCGTGCTTGTCTTATGCTTTGCGTAGCCCTCCATCTTGGTCAGTTCTCCCACCCATGCTGGACCGTCACGGAGGATTTTCTATTCCAGGCTGGTTTTCCCAGCTGCTCTGTATACTCCTGGGTCACCTCCCATTCCATAAATAGGCATAGGATCAGGGGACAAATTTACTTTATATTAGTCTGATTCCCAATTGAATGGGGAAATCTGTCTCTTTTAAACAACCATTTGGGTAGGTTAGGAGAGGAGAACATTTTCCTTTCAAAAGTCCCGTCCAACTTTATTCTTTTTTTTTTTTTTGTGAGGAAGATCAGCCCTGAGCTAACATCTGCTACCAATCCTCCTCCTTTTTTTTTCCCTCCCCAAAGCCCCAGTAGATAGTTGTATATCATAGTTGCACATCCTTCTAGTTGCTGTTTGTGGGACTCGGCCTCAGCATGGCCGGACAAGCGGTGCGTCAGTGCACGCCTGGGATCCAAACCCGGGCCGCCAGTAGCAGAGCGTGCACACTTAACCGCTAAGCCACGGGGCCAGCCCCCATCCAACTCTATTCTTTAAGGAAAAGCAGAACCAAGCCAAGTTGAAGGTGGCCCCAGCGAGAAAAGCAAAATGGGAGGGCACTTCCTATCCCTCTCCAATTCTCTTTTTCCCTGGAATGAGGGAGTTATGGAGGGTGGATACATTGCATCATAAAGGAAACGAGAAATGGGAACAGAAAGGAAAGTGCTTTGTTGTAAATGTACATGGTTAAAAAAGAAGAAACAAGAAAGAGATAGAATGCAGCCCCTGCCAGGGGCAATGGACTTGCTGACTTTGTGCAAGTATTTGTATTGGCTACTCCCACAAGCCTCCTCTTTCCTGGGAAAGGCTTCCCCTGCCTATGAGGAGCTCTTCCTGGTCTCTAACTCTGCAGGCTGACGGCTGCCTGCAAGATTTCCCTTGTCAGAGGCATCAGAAGGCCGCTGCTAGAGAACAGGGCTGATGCCTGCTGGCAGTACAAAGCCGAAGCTTCCTGAATGCAGCTGTCTCAGGGGAATGGTGGAATTATTTAGCACAAGAGACTTTAAAATCGTCCAGCCTGACCCCTTCATTTTGCAGATGAGGGGTGCAGCAGGGGAAAGCGAATTGCTCAGGGTCACCCGTGGGTGAGTCGCTGAACCAGGTTGCAGCCCCAGGTGGTGTGACTCCTGACCCACTGTAGAGTTGATAGCCAGGCTGAAGCCATGCCACAAGGAGAGTTGGGGCAGGGTCCTGCTCAGCTGGTGTCTAAATGTGGTGTGACCCTCTGTCAGCACCTCACAAGGCTGGCCAGGACTGTGCAGTCCAGATGAGCAGCCCATCCACGAAGGGTGAACTCGGAGCCAGGTTCCCAGGGGCCTGTGTGGCTGAGTATGAACACATCAAGTGTGTGCCTTATACCTGCAGGCATTGTGCTGCTGCTGTCTTTCAACCCAGCACTTTCTGTCCCTGAAGGGAGTGCTTTACTCTCTGGCTGGGTCTCAACCAGATCCTGCAGTACTTCCGTGTTCTCCTGGCTTCAGACCCCTCTTGCTGTCCTGACCGCTGATCTGTCTGACACCTACTGTCACTGCTGTTTGTCTGGCTGCTCACCCACTCCACTGCTAACCACATGGTGTCTGTGCCTGTGGGCCCCACTGGCCTGAGTCCCCTGGCTCCACATAATAATTCAGGGACCAATCTCTTTCTGTCTAGTTGCTCTGTGCCCCCAAGGCCTTAGGGTCCCCTTGGATCCTCTACTCTGAGTGGGAGACTCGGGAGGAGGTGCCCGTGAAGGATGGTGGGGAGGGCCTGTATCTTGCAGGTGATAGTGTATCATTTTCTGCCACAGTCCGTGGGCCAGACGTCAATCGCACAGCCTCATCCCGCTACAGGCGAGGTTGGGAAATGAAATTGAGCCATGTGCCCAGGGAGTGGAGGAACTGGATTTGGTGAATATCTGTCAGTCTCTGTCATAAGAAGACCTACCTTTGCTCCCACTGCCTCACTGAAACTGCCCACTTGGAGGTCCCCAGTAATCTCTGGTTGCGAAATCGAATGGGCTTATCTCAGGCTTTATCTTCCTTTACTTCCCAACAGCCTGTGACGCTGGCTTCTGCATTTCTTCCTCTCTCTCTACCTGCTTCTCAGTATAAAGGGGCTCCTCTTCTTGGGACCTCAGGCACCACCTATCCCTGTACAGATGACACCCACATGTGTACCAGAACCCAGCTCTCTCCTCAGGGCAGACTTGTCTATTCAACTGCCCATCGTATGTCTCTGAGAGGACACCTCACAAGCATATCCCACTCAACGTGTTCAAAGCTGTACTCGTGATCCCATCATCTTCCCTCCAAACATGCTTCTCAATCTGTTTTTACCTGTTTGATAATGGGCTCCATCATCCCCCTGGTCAGAAACCTGGTCAGCATCATATTTGATTCCTCCAAGCCCTTCAGTGGTGTCTCCTAAAAATCCCCCAGATCCAGCAGCTTGGCTCCAATGTGCTAACTGCCTTATCTACGATCAAGAACTTTATTCAGATTAGCTGCTGATTGCCAGGGGCTTCCTCCGTACACTGTGTATTCATTGAGGTTGAGCTCACGTTTAGGGAGGGTTAGGCCTCCACTTTTGATGTCAAAACAGTAAATTTGGAGTCAGGGAACCAAAACTAGGGTAGCCCAGGGTAGTGAGTCATGGTGCTGGGGCCAAGTGCCCTCCAAGAGAAGCGGAGATGTGACTAGTGTTCTGAAAACCGAATGTTCCCTGAGCTTGGCTGCTAAGAACATCCTTATCAAGATCCCAGTAACGTGAGGAGCTGTCTCAGCTCCCCAACTCCTACTCTGAAAAAGTAGAAATTCTGTATAAATTTGAGAAACTATCATATTATTCCAAGAGGAACAGTTGTGTGAATACAACAGCAGCAGTGTGCATACAACCAAGAAAATCCCATCCCTAGCAACTGCATTAAGTCTCAGAGTGGCTGTTTGTTGAGCTGGGGGGAAGGGAGGCAGGCTGAGAAAGGCCCCTTCAGCATAGAAAGTGTCAGAGAGGGAGGAAGCCCTTCCTTCCCACCCACGCAGCCACACCACTTCCTGTCCGCAATCCCGCCCTGTATTGCACCAGCCCAGCCTTGAAGCCTGGGGTTTCCATCACTGAATCAGGCCCCAATTTTGGCCCCAAACTTAGGTTGAGAATGATGACTCTAACGGACAGGAAAGCCAGAGACCCAAAAGCCCCTCTCCTCTTTCCCATCAATACTAGAGTTTCCACAGTCCCAGTGTACTTACCCGGGCAGCAGGCTCTGCCCTAACAGGAGCTAGAAGAAAAGGGGCAGCCCCGAATGTCACTGACACGTCTGCCCTCCCGTGATATCCAGGAAGTCCTGGCAGAGTCATCCATGCTACAGCAAACAGGCTTCTAACAGAAAGCCAGGGGGGGCAGAAAGAAGGAAGAATGGAGAGGAGGAAGGAGAAAGGAAGGAAGGGAAGGACAAAGAGAAGGAATAAAGGAAGAGGGAAGGAGGAAGGGAAGAGGGTGATGGGGATCCTTGAGCTCTGAACCTAAATCATCCCTGCTCCTGGGAAAGTTATGCTGAATCCCCAGGAGGGTATGCTGTTGGAAGCCCCCTAATAAAGTCATGTAACTTAAGGTGTGAGAGTGGAGGTAGCCAAGGCCAGAGTGTCTGGAAACTGCTCTATGCTTGGAGTCAAGAGAACTTTCCTGGATTGCTCATTTGGAAATTGACCACTTTGACGAAATTATCCCCCCTATCTATTTGGGAACGAAAGAGATCAATGTAGTCACTACCATGGCCATGGACATCATCACCATTGGCATGACCCACACTGAAAGTCTGTATTTAGCAGGGGCTGGTGTGCTTCGCATGACATGCTTGAAGAACCGGTGTCCTAGGTCTGGGGCTGTGTTCAGTGCAGACTCTGCCCCTGGAGACAGCTCACCTGCTCATCTGGGTGTTCTAGCATGACCTTTTCTCGTACGATATTCTTAAGAAGATCAGAAATGTCATCACAGATCAGACCAAAGGCCACTGGCCCAGAATTCCGACCACAATGCAGGGAAAGTGCGAGGGAGAGTCCAGTGTTTGCATTCTAAGACACCATCCTGAAAGGCCAGAGATGTTCTTGGAATTTCCCTGATTTTCCTTAATAACCCACTACTTATCTATCCATCCATTTATCCAGACTCTTCTTGAACTGGGTTAAGTTCTCAGTCACCTCATGCAGGGCGTCAGCTTCTGCTCTGCTCTGAATCCGCGCTCTGTGCTGTCTGAATCCACAGCCACTCATCCATGAACAGTGTGGGCACCCTCGCCCAGGGGCTTGGAAAGCGGGACTGTTTGCCCAGCATCCGGGTGCTCACCGAGCTTCCTCACAGTCTTTCCTCTAGACCAGCGGCAGGGCAAAAAAGTACCTTCCAAAATGTCACAAACCCACAGAAGGCTCGACTCGCCAAGCAGTATTTTTTGAAATTGAGAAAGTAAAAGAGT